TTTGCAATAAAATCGAAGATTGTGCCAGGGCAAAGGACCCTAAGCAAAGTTGGAAATTAATAAACAATCTTTTAGGCAAAAATAATAAATCAAATAATATCTCTCAACTTAAAGTTGAAGACGTTATTATTTCTGACGACATAAAGATAGCCGAGTCCTTTAATGATTTTTTTGTGAATATCGGAGCTAAACTAGCTAACGAAATCGAGATCAATTCCACTGATTTCACTTCATTTCAAAATGTTCCTTCTAGGCCAGATATTCAGTTTAAGTTCTCTGAAATAAGTACACACGAAGTGTGTCTTCAATTACGCAATCTTAAAACATCAAAATCAACAGGTATTGATACAATTCCAGCGAGAGCACTTAAAATTGCTGCTGAAATAATAAGTCCGTCACTAACGTGGATATTTAATTTATCAATTAAAACTGGAATTTATGTGGAAGAATGGAAAAAGGCTTGGGTTTTACCGATATATAAATCTGAAGACAGACAAAAATGCGAAAATTATCGTCCAATTTCCATTCTACCAATTATAAGTAAAATCTTTGAACGTTTAGTCTTCAACCAATTATACAAATATCTAAATGAACACTCCCTGCTTTCTAAGTATCAATCCGGCTTCCGTCCAAAGAACTCAACTTTGTCTGCACTTATTCAAATGTGCGATGCCTGGTACACTAACATGGATAATGGAGACTTGAGCGGTGTTGTTTTTCTTGATATTCGGAAAGCGTTTGACTCAATTAACCATGATATTCTATTGCGTAAAATGAAAGAACAATTTGGAGTTTCAAATATCGAATTTAAATGGTTTGAATCCTACATTTCTAATAGGGAACAAGTGTGCTTTGTCAATGGCACGATGTCAACACCTAGAAATCTCGTTTGTGGAGTCCCTCAAGGGTCTATTTTAGGCCCACTTCTATTCCTGCTTTATATTAATGATCTCCCAAATAATCTCAAGAATACAATCCCGTGCGTATATGCTGATGATACACAGATTTTTTCATCTGCTAATGACTATCAGCACCTTGTCTTCAATTTGAACAGTGACTTGAATAACATAAGTCAATGGCTCAAACAAAACAAATTGCAACACCATTCATCCAAAACTAAATTAATGTACGTAGGATCTAAACATAATCTCCATAAGATAAATAATGACATTCCTGTAATGTTAAATGGTCAACCAATTCCTAGGGTAACCTCAATACCTTGTTTGGGCGCCACCCTTGATGAAACGTTCAGTTGGGATGAGCATATTGACGTAATTTGCAGAAAGGTTGCAGCAGGTATTGGAACGTTAAGGCGCATCAAGCCATTCGTTCCTGCAAACATGCTGCAATCAATCTATAGCGCTTTGATACAACCCTACTTCGATTATTGTTCTCCCCTTTGGGACACTTGTAACAAAACATTAAAAGACAAATTGCAGAAGTTTCAAAATCGAGCAGCTAGAATAATAGCGGGTGCTGGTTATGAGATCAGGTCTGCTGACGTTCTTCAATCTCTTGAATGGGACAATTTAGAATCTAGAAGAAAATTAACTAAGGCAGCTCTTGTTTATAAAATTCTAAACGACCATAGTTCGCCGAACTTGAAAGAGTTTTTGATAAAAAGGAATATTTCGCAAACGACTTACGATCTCAGAAATGCTCAGAATGATCTGGCCGTCCCTAAGCCAAGACGCGACTTTCTGAAAAAGAGTTTTCGATATAGTGGTGCTAAACTATGGAATGATCTTCCTGGTGAAGCTAAGGAAGCCCTATCAATATGTTCTTTTAAAAATATTGTAAGGCAAAGTAACTAACCTAATATTAATTTAAATGGATTATTACAGACATATTTATATGGCCAAATCACACCAAACCACCATCTTCTTTTTAAACCATTCTAATTAATTACTATATATATTGCATGTATTTGTACTTATATTTGTCCTTTTTGTAAATAGTTTTTGTAAATTTTCAAATGTCGACGCCCCTTGTGGAAATCAACTCTCTTTGTTGACAAGGCTAGCGTCTTTAAATAAATTTTTACATACATACATACATACATACGGAGTATTGGACAAAAAATTGCTCACATTTTGGAAACTTTGTCGCAAAAAGAAACGGGGACCACAAGGGAACTGATTGGACAGTTCTTGTGAAAGGGAGTAACGGCAAATCATGCACTTTATTCGTATAAACATTGTTGTTTTAAAATTACATATCGTCTATATTGGATATCAATTGAGTTTCTGGATAACTTAAAACAGTAATAAAACAAAAGTTATTCCGAATAAGGAGTGCATAATATTAACACACGATTTATTAAAACTGTATATTTCGAATCTAAATCAGATTCATCTTCAGCACTGCTTCATCACGAATAAACGCTATTGATTGCTTACGCACTTTTGCGCACGCTAGCTTGTTTAAAATTGCTCACGCTTGTAAATATAACGACATATCTTGCAAAACACTGCTGAAGATGAATCTGATTTAGATTCGAAATATACAGTTTTAATAAATTGTGTGTTAATATTATGCACTCCTTATTCGGAATAACTTTTGTTTTATTTTTGCTGAAATTATCAGCCGGAAAAGGATTTTAAAACAGTAACATATGCACCAGGCATCTCAAAACTAAATAATATCGTAATTTGTATTGCACGCTTTTAATTAAGAATGCCATGGATATACCGTGTATTTCGGATATTTAATTTTGAATGTCAGTTCATTTGGTGATATATGCAATAAGTTGAGTTTACAATGAACGTGACACATGCACCTACCCAATTTGCAGTTTACAAATTATTCAGTATACTATGAGTATAGATATATGGATAGTTATAAGTATAGATATATAGATTGAGATAGGTTTATAAGAACAAACATTACAACCCTAAAACTGAAATGCTTTGTAACATGCGGTATGCTTGCGGCTTTTCCCAAGTTAGAGATATGCATAATAAAGAGTATTGTTTAACAACTTATTAAAAGTGGAGGGGTCGTGCTCACAAATAATGAAAAATTCTGTAGCCTCTTCTGCATGCAGCTCTATAGGGGTGACTGTGCCAAACTCGTTCCCAAGCTCTTGTTTTGTGTCAGGGTTTTCTCTAAACTATTGCATGTTAAAGGGTATGGGCAATGAAAATTTCTTCATCTATCTTATTGCTTCATCTGAAAGAGCATGAAAAAATAAGCCGATTGGCCGTTTACTGCTCTATTCTATCTCATCTGGTTCCGAAGTTATAAGCAAAAATGTGCAAAATATAAATTGCTGATTCAGCACAATGTGTGACGTCATAAGCGGGGTAAGTATGTTTATTGAATAGTAAACTAAAGCATAGCTCAGTTATTATTGGCTCAAATCAAATGAAATTTTGCATACAGATAGTACATGATGTGACGCATGGGAAAATACTTCTAATTTCGTTGTCAAGGCAACACAGTCGTTCCCAGGCCCCTTACACTGATTTTAAATAACTAGTTGCATTTCTCTATGTGTATGTCATTTTCGAATTATTATCATGCAAGTAAACTTTCGGCATGCATAGGTATCGTACACATACTTCTGATATTATTTTATTTTTATCAGTACCTTGAATAAAGCTGTTTTATAAAATTGGCGCAAAGGGTCCTGGGAACGACATTGTTACCTTGGCAACAAAATTAGAAGTGTTTTTCCATGCGTCTCATCATGTACAATCAGTATGCAAAATTTCATTTGATTTGGGCCCATAATAACTGAGCTATGCTTCAGTGTAGTATTCAATAAACATACTTACCCAGCTAATGACGTCACACGTTGTGCTGAATCAGCAATTTATATTCACATTTTTGCGTATAACTTCGGAACTAGATGAGATAGAATAGAGCATTAAACGGCCAATCGGCTTATTTTTTCATGCTCTTTCAGATGAAGCAATAAGATAGATGAAGCAATTTTTGTTGCCAATACCCTTTAACTGTTGAGTAACATACACAAACTAATCGAGGAACATGCATTACTGTAGCAAAGAGTCAATCATATATCGAAGACCACCAAATAGTAGAGAATGTAAGTTCTTTGTTTTGAAGGTCATGAGTGAAGTATATAATTCAATTCCAATCCTGTGCACAGTTAATGATATACCATGAACACTGTTCGGTTTAATTAACTCAGCATATCCCCACAAAAACAATTTGTGTTGTGGGAGAATATCTGTTTGAGTAGAAGGTATCACAAGTTTAGTTTTGTATATTGTGTGCCATTGATCTGATCCATCCGACCATCCATATAATATATGATTATTGTAGCTGTTAAGTTATTTTCCATACTAATGAATTTAGGTAAGATTGTCTTGCAAGTGGGTTGTTCTGACAAAGTTATCCAGCCAATATCCAGTACATCAGTACATGTATATTCATTCTTGTATTAATCTGTAAACAAAATTAGAAAGCAAAATGACAATGTGATGAGGAGGGAGGGTGGGGATTCTTTTATTAGCATTTGAAAATGGTTGTAACAATTTTGTTTAATTAACTCTATTATGTAAAACCAAAATGTATATAAAGTATAATTTTAACTGATGACATCTTTACCTTTGCTCTAACACTACATTTGATGACAACTTAGTTGGACTGTCGTTTTGAACAGAGTTGCAGAAATACAGGACCAGGATTTAATTCAATATCTCCTGAGAACATTAGTTTCTTGTGATATTGTTAATTGGCAATATAATGCCTGCAGCCAGAGTTTTGACTGTTTAAAATATTACAAAATGATTGTTTTTATACTGTATAAATGTATATAATAAAATATGTGGTATTTGACTACCTACCAGATGAGGATAAGTTTCCATGTTGATAGATAACTTCGGAATAATATCACAAGTAGAATGGTGAAAACAAGACAGCCAGTAATCTGCTTCGCAGATACAAAAATAAAGATATACACCGGCACTGTATTGATATATGTTTATACCTGGAAGTTTTTTTCATTATAAAAGTGTATTTTCCCAATTTAGATTGGGTGGGTGGGTCATGAAATAAATTTGGTAAGATTGGATGGGCTTTGAAATTTTTATCTACATCCTAAGATGGGTCACCAAACTTATTGGCAAAATTTGTGATTTACCTC